CTTTGGCTAAGCCACCACCGCCAACGACTCTCTCTGTTCCATGTTACATTCGAAACTGCGACGGCAAGAATCAAACGGTGTTTACTGTACCCGATGACTCCCATCTCTACGGATATGGCAATAGTATGGGCTCCTTTCGGAAACATTGCGAGCAAGACCAGGGATACGGTCGACAAGGGTCGTGGGACGTTTGATTGATGCCGTCAGCATCGGCATACCGTCAGCTTCCCATCGCTACCAGTATTTTCCTGTCTTGCCTAGAGATACAGCCTGGGTCTGGTGCTCTGCCGTGCTGCCGTACTCCGTACCCAGGTAGGCGGATACGGGGTGGGCGACGTGCAGATGTGTGAAGAACGTGGTCGAGCGATGCGCCAAGATGGCGACGGAGGAGGGAAATCATCGATTCATCATTTGATCCGGGGCGTCTTACGCGACATGGGGGAAGCGAGCGCAGGAGTGTGTTGTATCGAGAAGCATAGCCTGCTGCAGGCTTCCCTCGCTTCCCTTGCCCGTTTCTTCTATTCGTAGAGGTCTAGGCAGGCAGGCAGGCTGTGTGCGCTGTCTATCAAGCGTAATCTTGTACGGACATTTCTTCTTTCTCAACATCTCTTGGGTAGTGTTGTCTTGGGATCGTGACCAGCTGACCTCGACTTGCATGTCTAGGCGGAAACTGGGCAACTGGGATCTGAATGGCGCCAGCAAGGGTTGAAAGTGCTCGAGGGTGATGATGTGCACATTACGGTGCCAAGGTTGCACGTAACGTGAGACCATTGCGGGGGGGGGGGGGGGAGATCAGTGATTGATCCCAGTGCTCCCCAAGAGACCAAGGTAAGCAGCCACCAGCCAATGAGAATCCGAAACGGTGGGTCATTGAAACGGTTGTGAGCCCGCGCCTGTGTGAGAAAAAAAGGGCTGAACTTGTTGATGCGGCAGTAAGATTGGCATCGACATCCAATAGACCGGATTCGTGTCCTAGACAAGGAAAAGGCTGATCGCCAACAGGAAGAAGCAAGCGAGAGACAGACACAGAGGAAGGGTCTCGATAAGAATAGCCACGGGAATACCACTCCCCGGACTTGGGTCTTCAGCTCCATCCCTCGACCGAAGATATTCGGGTGGACAGAGGAGGCGCAGAGCAATAAGCAAAGTTGGATGAAGCTGAAAGCTGTGGGTGCCAGCTGGCGATGCTGAAACAGAGACATTTGATCACCACCGGTCGACCGGTGAAGATAGCAGGCAGAAACAGAAACAGCATATTGACAAAAAGGAACGAAAAAAGGGAAATAAGGAATGCTTGGTCTCATTGGGGGGCCAGGGGTCTAGGCCAAGCATCGGATCTACATAGGAACGTGGTGACACGGCAGAGACCACGAAGGAGGCTAAGTACCTTGTTATCGAAGAAAGTTAATTCTTTCTAAGTTATAAGTATAAGAATATAATTTTAATAAAATAGTATAGTACCTACTTAGTACTTAAATTAAGATACTTTTTTAAGCTCGCTATAAAAAAAAATAACTATATTATTAACTATTTATTATCGAAGTTTATAATACTATAACTTTAATTATAATAGCTTTATTTATAATAAATAAAAAGTTTAATTATAAGTCCCTTAAAAACCTCTTTTTAAAAACTATAAAAGCCTCTAAGTTAAGTTAAAATACTTATTAAAATATTAATAACTAAACTAACTTTATAATAACGGCCTTAATAAAAAAACTAAAAAATAAACTAAGAAATAATATTAAAATCCTTACTAATATTAAGTATAATTTATAAAGGGTAATAACGCGGCTATAAAGTATTAATAATATATTTTATATTAAAAAGACTATTATTAATATTAATAAAATAAATAGGGCCGTATTAATATAGTACCTTAGCTTCTTTTTATAGCTTAAGGATTATAGCTTTAAATAGTATTAAAAGTTTATTAAAAAGCTTTTTTAAATACTCTAATATATTTATTACTATTTTTATAATAATAAGACTCTTAGTACTTATGTATAAGTATAAGTTACTTATTTCTAAATAGTAATATTAGCTTATTAATAAGCTATTAAAACTACGATTTTAACGATTTTTTAATAAGGGAGAGGGTAGAATAGAGAAAAGGATAGGTAACTTATAAAAAGGGTTAAGGTTAAATAGTACGGAATTCGAGGGCAGGGTAGCGTCTACATATACTACGGTAATCCTTTAGTAATACAAAACGATAGAGTTAAACAGTAACCACGAAGGAGGCTGAACCTCTGAAGACACCCATATTCATTATTGTCCAATTATCCCGAGACATCCTTCTTTTTGCGCCATCCATCCCACGGGGACGGGAGATGTGCGCAAATGTTACCGCGCTCCGGCCATGTTCTGGACCCGAGTGATTGGGAATTCCTTACCGTTCCTTTTTCGAGCTCAGCAAAGGGGATGGGGAGTCTCACAGTCTCACACAATGATCGACGACAGGACAAACGGCACGTCGAGCTTCGTGTTTGGCGTGTAGGATGTTCAAATCTTTGATACCCATCTATTCCTCCACGCCTCGGTCGGACTCGGTGTGCCAGTGACATGTTGGAATTGTATCTCAAAGAGCTGGAAATGACAGCAACGAACCGAACCCCCCCCCCCCCCCCCCGGGGGGACCTTGTCTCGTGTGATCAAACAAGCCTTCTTCAAAATTTCGCTTCCCCGAGGCGGTCGCGCATTCCTCGCGTTCGTCGTCGGACTTTTTAGGGTTCTTGTTAATTGTTGACTTGCAGTAGTGTAACCTCAGAAGATTGTCCACAATTTTCCCAGGGTCCAGGGCTACAGAGGATAACGAGCGTGGGACGGAGTTCTCACGGACGGACGCGGCATGAAAGGTAAAGTAAGCATATCACGGCACGCGCATACAGGTTGCTGGTATTACGGAGTTGGTGGTTAATCTCCGAGAGGGACATGGCCTTCCTTCAAGACGGTGTACCGTGTCTTCACTACAGAGTTCGGCACACCTTACAGTCACACATTGCGTGCAGAGCTGTCCGTGAGACGTGCGATTGGATGAACGAAAGAGTCGGAGAGTCAGGGAGGAGGTTCAACGGCCGGCTCACGGCTCGTGATGTGAGTCGTGACAGAGCCCATGGTTCGCCGGCTTCTCGCTCGGTCACGGAAAGAAGCTTTCCCCAGGGATTGGTAGAGTAGGAAGCAGTGCTTGTAGCAGGAGCGGTAAGGCAGAACTCTTATTGCGGATGGAACGGTAGACTTGGCTTTTTTCCCTTTCGCATTTTGGATTCGTAGACCTCGCAGGGATGGCCTCATCGGGGACCATCAAGACGCGGACGCGCGCGGGCGGCGCAAGTAACAGACAGCTCGGGGCCCGGGCAGGTAATTCATTCAGGCTTTTTTTTTTCTTTGGGAATTGCGAAATAGAGTGCGTGCCGGAAGTCCCACTAGGATGGATGACCCCAGATGTGCGGCTCGTACAGTTCATACTCAAAAAGTCCTACAGATCATTTGGCTGGCATTTAACGCAAGACACCGAACCGAACTCAAAAGTCCGGAGTCTGGAGTCTGGAGAAGGGGATGGGAATTTTAGGGGTTCTCACATTGCCTGGCACATGACAGACAAGGCTGAAGATGAGATTAAGCATACCGGGGTGTAATGTGAGTTGGTTGGTCACGACCAAGGTTTTTGTTCCCGTGGTAAACGGAGTAACTGGATAGAGAACGCCGGTCATCGGGGAATGAGAGTGAGAAAAAAAAAAAGTTTGTACAAGATTGAAGTTGCATTCGGCATCGTGACCGCCTCTCTTTTCTACCACTCTCATAGGCTCATTTTCCAGCCCAACCCAATCTCACAACAACATAATCCCCTGACTGGCTGGAGGCGGTGGGCTGACCTGGGAGCCCGGACTGGATATGGAGAAAATTTGGGAAATTACAGAAGCGGTCGAACTTTTTCCACAATCGTTCCATGAAAGCTTCCATGCATGAGCAGCGGCCCCTTGGAGGCTGGGGGGGGGGGGGGGCTCTGACGAGATCCAATCTCGCTATACACTTCCCATGTTGAGTGTGAACGGAAAGCGGGTCGGCAGAGCAAACGGCAGAAAAAGAGAAGGACCAGGTTTAATTATTACCGTAAAGCAGGCCAATTCGGCTCGTTCGCTTCATTGTCACCGATTTTTTGATGGGAAATTTCCTCTCTCCCTTGCCTTGGTCCTCAGCCCGCCCGCCCCCCCTTACCCCCCAGGGCCCTACCGTCTTCGACTTCCTTGAAGTGAAGAGTGTCCATTTTCCCCTTGGCCCATGCCACGCATGCCCTTGTCCTGCTGCAAGATGGTCGATTTCGAATGGAGATGGGAGGAGGGTTTCGTTGCGCCCCGCTGGACCCCTTGAAGCGCTGGTGACTGGCAGCTTTTTCTAATTTGATGATGATTTTTCTTGCCAATGGGGGAGGAGGCCAATTATCCAACCCCCCTTGCTCTGCCTTGATCGTAGATAATCTGTTACCTGTTACTACGTGTCAGCTGCTGTCCGCATTCAGCCTTTTTGACCATGATTACGGCACTTCATCGTAATACGGAGTACGGATACTGGGGGGGACTTGGGTTGGGGGTTTATTCTTATTCCAGGCAGACGCTATTACAAGGTGAGGTAAGCTCGGAGAGCTCATCGGGGCGCAGCAGGACGCCTACGTCGGAGTGGTTAGGTGAGATCAGGCAATGCGATGATAATTGCTGCTCGATGCTGCGGATTTCGGAACGAAATGCGACGGTGAATGGGCTGCGGCAGCAATAGGCTGCATCTATTTTGTCTGCATGTTGCTGCCGCAGCAGGAGGAAGCTGAGAAGACACGAAGAAGAAACACCCCCTGAAGAATTTTATTTTAGATGCACCTGAAGCAACGTCGACGGAGCCTCTGGCCCCGCTATCTGCAGCAGCACATGCGCATGCAAGTGAAATGTAATGACTTTTTTTTTTCAATGTGTTCTATTGCTTCTTCTGCTTCTTTAGAGGCATGTACTCTACCGCGTACAGCCAAGGTAGAGTTGCAGTTGCAGGTTTGTGTGTGGGCTTGCGCTACGTGTACGTTGGACTCTGCAGAACGACGACGCCAATGATGTAGGTGTAATGTGTAATCGTGTTTGCGCGCCCAGGAAAATTAAGATTACTGCGCAGAAAAGGACGAAAAAGGGCCGCGCAGTTGTATCCGTAGTATCCGTAGTAAGAAAGTCGTAATAGTAACGGACGTACGACTGTACGCGGCAGATATTCTACGGGCGTTCGGTGAGACTTTTTCTACGGGCGAACAATTTGGTGTTCTACGGAAGCTGAGCCACGGCCGGCGGCTTCTGGGGCGGCGCCTTGTCCGCGCAATGCTGCTTGTAAGTTGTCGAGTTTGGGTGAAAGGACAAGACTCACAAGAGCCAAAAGAGAGTTTTTGTCCACGGCGAACCGGGGAACTCCCCCTAACGTGGGAACAAAGAGTCGCTTGGTGAAAGGGGACTCGGGAGTTGAGACGAGACATGATTGCTCACTTGCAGAAGTGGACAGTGTAAACAGGCCACCCAGGTTTGAGGTTTTCTGTAGACACCGTGACATGATGCGATGCATCAGGGAGGAGAGGTCTAAGAGGGAGGGACTTGAGAGTTCTGTATTCGTACTCCTTCTCGCTGTCGTCAACGCAAAATTACGCACGTCGCAACTTTATATTGGCTCTGTAACTGGTTGATTGGGTGTCGTCTGAAGATGGACGGCACGAGATGGGAGCTTTGGCAATTTTGGTAGTCCAAGTGTATGTGTGTGTGTGTGTGGTGTTGCGTGGTGGTCACCGGTTGACTGGTTTGGTGTCAAGTAGGTGGTGTTTGAGCGGTGAGCTTTGCAATTTCCCTGACGGTTTGAGATTGAACCGTAACAGGAAGAGGAGGACAAGGGTTGGATTGGAAGAGACGGAGCTGCCGAACGCTGTCTCCTTTTTCTCTGAAGGGCTCCCCTTTTTTCTTGGTGCCGGGAATGGGTACGGAGTACGGATACCTTCATCTGGGTGAGGTGAGTTCGCCAGAGAGTGAGTGAGGGAATGAGAGTGAGAGTGAGAGCACAGGTGTCCTGTTGGCTGGTGGGCAAATCCCTCCGTCTCCGTCTCCGCTCCGTTCTGTGCCTGGCTGACGGTTGGTCTACTCTACGGAGTACAGTAGTGTATGGGGAAAACTGAGAGTGGATGGAGACGGTGAGAAAGGCCGGTGTGACAGGGGGCAGGAACACGTTCAGGGCAGGGCAGCCCCCTGTACGCGTGCTTGTTTCATTTCCTCGCGTTGCGGCGGTCAAGCCCCACGGTGACTCTGGCGATGCGTCACCGCCAAAAAGAGGGAGACCTTTTTCCAGGGCAGCGGGCAGTCATGGGAGCCGCCCGTCACCTCAGCAAGATGAGACGAGACGGCGGCCCACCGTTGGGGGTGATTGACGAGATTGACATTTCTGGAGAAACGGTTGCTTCGGCTAGACGCTGATCTCCACTTGACGGTGTGTGGGTCGGTACGTACATACAGTCTGCAGAGCTGCAGAGCTGCATTCCACCGTTACGGCTCTGAGATACCGTATGTAAGTACCGTGCCGTGGTGTACCTGATGGCGTAAGGTAGCGTAAACGGAATGCCGCGTCCCCATCCACACATCAGAACACCAAGACCAGACGGAGTGGACGCCCAGGGCAAAGCTTTAATTTTGGCACTGGCAGTGTCAGGTACAAGGGGTCAAAGTACTGACGTACCTGCTCTCTCTCTCTCTCCCGTCCCAGGCAAAATTCCTTTCTTCACCTTCACTTTACTGCCACCCCATCGCCGCCCATCCCACACCCTGCCGACTTACCCCTGGACAGCTCGCAATACACGCAAACTCGCCCTTCACCCTCATCTCACACTCCCACAATAGTCACCACACACCCTACTTTTACCCTCTCTTGCGGTGGTTTACCTACGCAGTACGGTAAGTAGGCACTCACTCCCTCACACACCCTTCACACCCTTCTCCCCTGACACCACACACCCCCCTCCCAAGCAAGAAGACACCAGTGCCCGATCCAAGGTCAAGCTGGGCTAATACCCTTGCAAGGTTTCTGGCTGTTCCAAAATTGCAGAGTCTCGGACAGCGAGCTCTGCAAACAGGCACCGCCAGCCAAAATCTCCTTCCCATGGCCGCATTCGTAGATACATAAGGCACCCGACTCCCCCCCTAGTATCGATGGACTACTATTCCCGACCAGATCACAATCATCATCGACAAGACCAGATTCAGACGAAACTCTTCTAACTTACGACCGTTTGGTTACATACTACTCTCACATCCTCCATCCACCACTACACACCAAAGAGTCTTTGTCCTCATTCCTCAACGGCTCAACAACCTGCAACACCACAACATACAAAACTCCCCAAGGCTACATCTACGCAGCCTTACCTCAACCCAAACCAACAACTTCACAACAGCTCATATGGCTTGCTCCGCAAACAACGACTTCATCACCATGCCTGCTCAGCGCCCCTCGCAACTTCCTCCCTGCCCCGGCCCGCCGCCTCAACGCCCTCTTCCTCCTCTGCCCACCCGCGGTTAAAGAGTGGCTGGCGGTTGGCCTCGCGCAATACACCGACTCGAGAGCTTTCTAGAGCCATGAGTTGAGAAACAAACCACCACTACCACATCGAATGGAGCTGCCCTTCGGTTTCCCTTCGCAGTCGAAAACCAACAACACGGACGAACGGGGGCCAACAAACCCATTGAACCAGTTCTCGGGAAAACACCAACTGCGAACGAAAACCGATCCACACCCTTCAGCAACAACACCGCATCCATTCAGTCGGCCTGTATTTGGCAGCCCGCAGGATTTACCACGCATTCCAATATGCACGCCATACACGCCTCCATGTGTTGGCCATGCATGCGTCTCACCCACACCACCCACACCATTTGACCGAGGGGCAGAGGTCTCTCCAAAAGCCTCACCTCTGCGACCACCGGGCCAATGCAACTGCCCCTCAATCTCTCCAGACCGGGCAAACGCACCTGCGTCACGATGGACCGCGGGGTCATCAGTTGCTCCGAGGCGGTCTCGAGAATGGGCCTTTTTAATTCTTCCTCCCTCACCTTCTTCCCCTTCTCTTCGTGCCGGCCCGCGTTCCCAAGAGCTGGGCTCTGCACGCAACTTACCAGCAACCACGCAACAACCCACTCTACTTCGTCATCGACTGCCACACCCCCTACGCAGTATTCACCGACATACCACCTTGTAACAATACAAACCTACCCCTCGTTCTCTCTACACCTCTTTCACCGAAAGTGGGTTATTCAACCAAGCCAACGGAAACCACCATCTTTAATCCATGACCTACAACGGAACGAGCAAAGCATCATTACGGGACCAGGAACAAACCTCAACGTCATCATTCAATCACGCATTTTCCACAACCTCATCAACACAAACATGTATCATTAGAAAGGAGCATTTGTCAGGGAGACTCACTACAAGTCTACTCTTTTTTTGTTTTTTTCTTTTCCCACTTTGTCGTCGCCGATACCCCCCTTCCCTTTCTCAGAGAGATGGATGGATTCGACGTCAAGTACGAGCGTTTCTTAGGAACCAGATTTAGTCAACTGGGATATATCAAAAGTTGGAGAGAAGGAGTTCACATTTCCTCATTCGCACTGGAGCACAGGGGGGTCAATCTCAGCATTGGACCACCCAATTCTAGATGAGAGTTATAATACCACACATAATTCACCAAAACAAACTTGATCCTCACTTTGCTGCATAAATGTGATTCAACTTTGGAAGGCCAGCCAAGTTCTCGACCTCGCAGCCGACTTGCCTCACTGAACCGCGCTTTAACCGCACAGCTCTCGCTAATGCCGCGCAAACCATGGCAGAAACGGAGGATCTTACTGTGAACCCCCCGTTCATCAACCTCTCCCGCCTATTGTGAGACCGAGACGGCATGGGCACATGGCACGATGGGCGGGAAACACATCCCACTCAACGCACGACATCCCGTCCCATTCTCCCCCCCATCCCTCCCCGCCCGTCCGCCGTCACCATGGCCGCGACAGCAGTGCGCGGGGTCGTTGGGAAAAGGTGAGCCGATCTCTACGTTGACCGAGAGAGCATCGCCCCCCCCCCCCCAAGTCTATCCGTCCCTCCCGACGACCACCCTGTATTGGGGGTGTATTGGGGGCTGGGGGGCTGGGGGGAAAGTTGGATGAGGTTACGGAGTAACGGACTGATTTGCATTGCGTTTGGCGGCGGAATGAGAAAGAATACTACTCTGCGGCGGCCACCTTTTTTTTGGCAGACCGAGCCCATGGCTGCCATGGTAAGGTAATTTAAACCTCAGCCTACTTTGTTTCTCCTGCTGCATGGCCGTGATACCTACATACAACAACTGCGGAAACCAACCTTGCCGCAGACGACCCCCCCTCCCCTTCTCCATCCCCCCCAATGTGCCATGCATAACCGACCCGACCCGATCAGCAGACCAAAAATACTCAAATACCATGCGCCGTCCTGCAGAAGACCGCAAGGGCGAAAAGGCAACACCAGGCAGGCTAGCGGCCACCGGAGGGCAGTTTGCGACTTTTGCAGCGCGCCAACAAGACACAATATTGATGTTAAACTAGAGAAAGTATGGCTGAATACGGGGTGCCAGCGGCCATCTTTTGCGACCCAATGTTTGGCCCCTTTTTCTATATGTTGAGGGGGAAAAAAACCTCCACGCCCCTCCCAAAGAGATTGTGGGAGAATGGATTGGAAAAACCGCTCAATTGTTGCAGAATATATTGACACGTCGACTTTTTGTGAGGAAACCGGGGTGGTGTTGTTGTTGATTTTCACACCACCACCACGAAAACCATCAACACCGTGATCATCAGGGCAGAGCAGACAGCTTTTCTCTGCCTTCTTTTGACGATCTTTACCTCGACATCCAACGGATAGCATGTTGTTCGTGCTGATGTCGATAAGCCCCGTCGTCACATCCCGTCCCAATTGTCTTTTTGCAGAGCGGGTTTCGTTCTAGGTGATACACACCGAACGACGGGGGTTTGACCGAAAGGGAGGGGGGAGCGGCGAACAACGACGGCGGGCGAAACGCGCCGAGATCATCTGAGATCTTTCCGCGTTGCGGTAGAGATTGCCCTGCCCTACGGATACACTCCATCTCCGTGGTGTGTACTGCTGCTTGCCCTGACTGACGTGATGTGTTATGTTACCGCAGAGTGGCAGAGTGGTAGATGGAGGACAAGGGGGCATGAATGTTAGCCGGGGTTTGGAAGGGAAAAGATGTGCGGCTAGGGCGCGTGTTTTTTTGGCAGAAACATCACATCGATAATGAAAAGTTTGGTCACATTCCTGCTCTCTCTCTCTATCTATCGTCAAGGAGAACATACTGCTACACTACCTTACCACCGGGGGGGGCCTTGCCTGCCCGGAATGAGACGGACAGGCTGAGAAGCTCAGCTGATAATGTTGCACATAGGCCCTGCTTATCAATTTGGAAAATGGGACGCGGTATTATGATTTTTGGTGGTTTTCGCCCCCAGGTTTTACTGCGTATCTAGGCCCCCCATTTCCCATCCCCATCCCACCCGAACCACCTTACCCCGTCCGCGGTTGCCAGACTGCTCATCTCGCCTAAGTCGAGATGCAGGACAGATACATGCCTTAGGGGCGGGCGATGCAGCGCGGCGGCGAAGGGGAGGGGGAGGGGAGGGGATGCGCGAGAAAAGGGTTTGGGCGGCAGACCTCGGGACGTGCCATTGCATTTTTTTTTATTTTTTTTTTTTGGCAAGGGAGAAGTGGAGGGGTGAGGTTACCCGCGATGCGCGGCTGTTTTGATCTATTGAAACCTTCTCAAGGGGATTTGCGTAGGATGGCCCATTATGAGCTGGACATTGAGGTTCTGGTTTGCGAGGTTTTGGTTGTGCGGTTCGAACGGTGGTGGTGATTGCCTTTTCATGCGTGCCTCATATTGGGTTGGACGTGCGTCTTTTTCCGGTGGGCTTGCATTTTCCCCGGGTTTACGCCCGTTACCTCAGCTGAAGTACGAAAGTACGGAGTAAACCCAGCTCGAAACCATCGTATTGGACCCGACAGACCAGAGAGAGAGAGAGGCCTCAATTGGGGGCGGGGCTGAGATTTGTCGTTCGAGGTCCGAACTCCGTATCTGTACCGCAGTACGTAGTAGATGGTTTGAGCCTATTTGCGTGCAATTATTGTCGGTGAATACTATCCGCCGTACCGTTTTCTGATGGCGGAGTGGATTCTGATGCCGCGGCCTGCGAGAGAGAGAGTTTTTGGAACATCCACCCCTTTTTGCCTCTCGACGAACTCCCCTTTGACGGTACGGTTTAGCATAATGTACAGTTGGAATTGGAAATGAGAAAATGAGGCTCAGCCTCAGCCCGTCCGTGGACGGACGGGAAGGGTAAAGGACAGAAAAAAAAGGGGGTGGATGTACGGGATGTGGAATGTTGGACCCCTAATTCCCAAGTTGAGGGTAAAAAGAGCCCAGGGGGTGGAGACTCTACTATAGTATCAGTTCGTACTCTGTCAGGTCTGTGAAGAAAGTCAAGGGGGAAAACATGAAAAAAAATAAAAGAAACACAGACGTCGTTGACGGTTTTGACGGGCTCGACGGTCCAAGGCGCCGTCGTTCTAGGGCCTCCCTTATCTAATTACGTCGCACCGGTGACGGGAGGCTAAAGGGAAGGCTAGCACGATGGTGTAATTAGATATTCTGCCCTTGCCGTCTTTTTTCGAGGGCAATAACGGAAAAGAGGGAGAAACTGCAAAGAAGTTTGGTCCCCCCCCCGAAGACAAGCTTGGCTAGTATCCGGGTGTTTGACACCAGTGGACGAGTATACGATGGACGGCATTCATGCTAGCGGAGATGGCGCCGGGGAGTCGGGATTGTGGGAAAGGACTGGTACCATGTCTCCGACGCAGCGGCGGCGGCGCGAGAGACGGCGCCCAGGGAAAACGGAGCCGCCGTGGGCGGTGTTCCGTGGACGTGGAACGACCGATGTGGGCTTCTCTTTGGGTTCGAACCTCGTGTTGATGGATTGAGAGGCGTGTCGCGATGAATGGTGGGGGATTCTTTCTCCCCTATTGGTATTATCCCCCCTTTATTGCCGTGTGTTACGATTTCGTATATTCCTCCGCGATCTAAAGAAGAATCTAAATTAATCCAGGTACGACGACGATTCGTCACCGATGGGCGGGGACGGGGTGGTTTAAGCTACTATAGAAGCATTGAATGGGTAAGGGTAAGGATTGACCTCGTAGCTAAGAGTCTGATGTCTTTCTTTGTGTGTCTATATCGAGCCCTGATCAAGGTCCGAGGATTACGTTGACAGGGAATCGGGGTGCGGCACGTCACGTCAGATAAAAAAGGACGGGACGGAGGAGACCCTCTCTCCAAGCCCTTTCATCAAAGTGACACCTGCGCATCTTCTACCCCGTGAAATATGGTATCACAATGTTCTTAGCTGTCGTGGGTTTATTATGGAATTTTCTGTGACGAAGATGGATGAACCCTGGCGCTCCGCTGCTGATCACTTGTCTTTCCCATTTCCAAATCCCCCTCCCCCCCCACTTGACGAACTGGAGGAATGTTTGAATCTGTATGAAACAAGAGAGGGAGGCTTTGGTCTATCGTTCTTCAAGCGCCGTTCGCTGTTCACACCTGTCAAGCTTGTCAATCTGTTTCCCGTTTCGAAAAATGGACGGTTCAAGTCGGACGTGTTCTGGGGGCGTCTGGAATTCAGACGGTGTAGATTAATTACTTTGGAACTAAGGTAGCCACGCCGTGGTCGTGGTGCCTGCAGTAGGTTACGGTTACAACTTACGGTGTACGGGTTCGGTGTCGCGTACCTGCCTTAGTGGTGGCGAAACTCCCTGCAGTCGTCGTCGGCTTTGGTCATCTCGGAAGATGGTCACGAGATTGGATCAAGAAGGTCGAATGTCTACTGCATAGTAAATGTCGCAATGTATCATGTACCTAATCCCCTCCCTTCCTTGGCTCTTCCTGTTGGTCCCTTTGATCCCTTTCGGAGGGCACGTGGAGGGTAGACTTGGGAATGGCTCAGGGGACTTGCATTGGTGATTCGGACCCGCCGGGGATGCAGGCGCAGAAGCTTAGAGAAGGTGCTTATCGCCAAGACGTCACCGCTTCTTATTTTTGCCTCTGTGTCACTGGTGGACGTTTGACGGCGGGAAAAAAAAAAATACTTGGTGATTTTCGCGGCGGCGTGTTTTGGAGTTTCTCGAACGGTGAACCGGATCGTCAGGGGGGGGAACGGTGGGTTCGTCGATTCTGTCCCAATCGGGAAATGGAGCCCCGTTTGGGGGAGGAGTGGGGTGAAGCGTGGCAAAACGTGGGAGATCTGAATCCACTTTTATTCAGCTGCCTCAGTCCCTCCACTTGTGATTATGTAAGGCATTTGTACTCCGTACCCAATACCTTGTTACTTCTCAGTACGTATGCTCCGACCACGTGATCCCGCGCCGAGGTCGTAACGAACCGTTCAGGCCAAGCTCAGGCGGATCTTCGCGCCGCTGAAGCGATGAAAGGAATGCAGGGGTCCCTACTTTTCCCCAGAACGACACATCAGTGACATTGCATTGCACATCATCAGAAACGGTTGTCTCTTACAGCTCATTGCTGCCTTGCGGGATCTTCAGGGTATCCTTCATACCACAACAGTGCGTTGAAACGGGCTTGACTCATCGGCCACCCGACTTTTCGTCATCCTTTGGGACCCCTTTGGCACCACGTCCCTTGCGCTAGAGAACTCGGACAATCAGGGTCTCTAGAGTCTACGGCGGGGACAGAGCGAGCGAAGGCAGACGACGTGAAGCGGATACTTGGATACACACACCGGTTCCCGCAGTACGTGAGGTGTACTCGTCACCCGGCCTTCACACCACAACGTACGACACAACACCAACACCGCCGACCATGGACGACGTCCTCGAGCTCCACGTCTGGGGCGCTGCATTTGGCCTCCCCTCCATCGACGCCGAGTGTCTGGCCGCCATCGCCTACCTGCACACCGCCCTCCCAAGCTCACAATGGCGTCTGGTCCCGAGCAATGACCCTGCCGTCCATTCATCAAGTAAGTATACCCGTTCACTTATTCACACTTACATCGGCCGGCGTCTTTACATTGCCCACCCCCTTCCCACCGTTCGAGCTTTCCGCCGTTGAAACAAATTTCCCACGCGGCCTCGTCCCATCATGACGACTCATAACAAAGAAAGCCTCACAAAGGCTCACCCAAACGCACAAAGAAACTCGCCCAAAATACATGCACACAATGGACCCTCCCCCTTTTACCCTCAGCCTCGCTAACGTCTGCTAGACCGCCTACCGGCCCTCAAGGCCAACGGCGTCTGGGTGACGGGCTACGCCTCCATCGCGGCCCACCTCGCCTCCCTCGCGCCGCACTCCCCCTCCTGGGACCTCGACCTCGACTCGCGCCTCACCCCGTCCCAGCGCGCAGACGCCCTCGCCTACGCCGCCTACGTCGAGTCTGCCCTTGCGCCCTTGTTAGATGCCGCCCTCTTCGGCACCCACGAGAACTGGGTTGCCGTCACCCGCCCCGCCCTGAGCCACCTCCTCGGGTTCCCCCTGAGCTGGACCGTTCCCGTCATGATCCGGAACCAGGCCACGGCCCGGTGCGCCCACCTCGGCCTCGACTCCCTCGGCGCCGAGGACGACGACGAGGAGAACGGAGATGACGCCGCCGTGCCCAAGAACCGCGCCCTGGACCGCGCCATGAAGCACCTCCCCGTCTCCAACAAGAAGACGGTGCTCGAGGAGATGAAGGCCGGCACGGCGCGCGGCATCAGGCTCCACGCCATCACCGTCGACGCCCTCTCCCCCCTCGAAGCCCTCCGCGCGCGGGGCGAGGACTCACCAGGCGAGAAGAAGCGCTTCTTCGGCGGCGAGGTCCCCACGTCCCTCGACTGCCTCCTCGTAGGCTACCTCGCCCTCATCCAGCAGGTCGACCTCCCGCAGTCCTGGCTACCGACCATCCTCGCCAAGAAGTTCCCCCACCTCGCCGCCATGGCCGCGGACCTCCGCGACGAGTGCCTCACGAACCCGGGCAACGCCCTCCCCTGGACGGCGGCACCTTCGTCGTCGCTCCGTACCGCGGCGCGCTTCCTCGACAACGTAGTGCAGGCGACGCCGAACCTCGGCGAGGCGTACCTCCACGAGTGGCGGCGGCGGGCCGAGACCAAGGCCAAGGGGGCCTCGGCGGACCGGAGGACGCTCGCGCTCGCGGGCGGGGTGTTGGTCGCTGGCTCGGCGATCGCGTACGGCGTGTGGACGTATAAGAGTCTGCCGCCGTGGGGCCTGCGGACGCAGACGTGGATGGCGGAGAAGAAGGGGCTCGGTAGGTTTGGCGATCTGGGCCAGATGCTCAACTTTTCGCTGGGGCTTGCGGACCCGGTGCCGCAGGCGAGTCCGGCTGCTGGATGGGGTTCGGAGCATAGGTATGTCGAGTCTGAACTGGCTGTTGATTAAGGCTGGCGAGACACTTTGAGTATAGGATAATGCGGTGAGTATCAAGATAGGTTTGGTACAAGGAGGTATGGCTGGTCGCAACATGGCTTATCAGTCACAAGACGAAAAGGTGTGCATATAGATCATTCGCAACTCTGGAGTCAGGGGTAGCATGTAGAAAAGGCCACGTGGTTCGCGGCTGCCCAAAGATGTACAATACTGTCTCGATTATGTTGGTTTACACATAAAACCGTTCATCATACACCATGCTATTTTTTCAACGCTTCCTGTGCCACTTATGCCGACCTCGAATGCCCTTATACTCGAACACGGGCGCTTTTAGTTCTACACACGATAGAAAAAAACGACCCTCGTCATCTAGTCTCATCTTTCTGAGGCTCCTTAAATCTGCCGAATCTCCTTTCCGACCATCTCGGGCCTCTCAACCTCCCACTCGTCGCGCAGCACCGCAAACGTGAGATCGCTGACGAGCAAGCTCTGTCCCAAGCTCCAGACCAGCGTGATGGCGTAGAAGAAGTTTGCGTTTCCGCTGCCGGCGTAGATCCACAGGTGGTAGAAGGCCGGGCCGAGGAACGAGGCGTACATGATCGTCGCGGCGCCGACAAAGGTATACCGCATGAGCGGGAAGACGTGCCGGAAGAGGGACAGCATGGCCAGGAACAGGCTCGTGTCCGCGATGGACGGGTACGGCTTGAAGATGGCAAAGATGCCGAGGAGCAGCGTCAGCACGACGAGCGGCTGCGTGCGGATGCGGATCGTCAGGGGCCCGACGTAGCTCGAGAGGTGGAGCCAGAAGACGGCGAGGAAGAAGGGCCGGAAGGAGTCGAACATCTCGACGAAGAAGTACCACCACAGCCCGACGTTGGGGGTCAGGTCGTTGAGGGTGAGCTGGGCGCCGTAGGTGCTGGGGAGGAACTCCCAGGAGCCGCCGGTGAGGAGGAAGGACATGAGGAAGAGGGCGGCGAGGACGGCGGCGGCGACGGAGACGTTTGCGAGGGCGAAGCGCCGGGTCGAGGCGGTGCCTCGTCGGACCGGGTCCTGGCGGTCGTGGGCGAGGAGGATGAGGGGCGGGAGGAGGAGGGCGGGGTACATTGAGAAGTAGGTGGCGAAGGAGAGGGAGACCATTGCGCTGGGGGGGTAGCCGGCGATGGCCTTTGCGATGGCGTGGAGGATCGCGCAGGTTGAGAAGACGGAGGTGGAGCGGCCGATGCAGGTTGCTATTGTGAAGGGGTTGAAGAGGTAGCTGTGGTGAGGGTTGTCAGACCAAACGTGCGTTGATGATGCGGGCAAGGGGTGAGAGTTGGAGCTTACAGCGATGCGACGACGAGGCCGCTCCACCTCTTGCCGCGGCGGGGAGAGGAGAAGAGGCGAGACGAGCCTGCTTCGCCAGAGTCTGCGATATTGGAGAGGGCATCCGCGCTCAGGATGTCGACGAGGACGTAGAGAAGGTATGTGAAGATCGGGAACGACTTCGGGTCCGGGAGGAGGGAGAAGAGGGGGAGGAAGAGGGGCGCCTGGTGGTATACGCCGCCGTCGTAAGGGGAGACATTGTGGTTATAGAGGAAAAGTCCTTCTTGTACTGTATTACGATAAATCGTCAGCCAAGATTCCTTGCTTCGGTTGGGATCCGGGAGAGGGGAAGCTTACATCGCTTGAAGCTCGTGACGGGGGTTGAGATCTCGACGCGGCCGGTAAGCAGGTCAGGCAGGCCGGGGAACGCGACGAAGAGCAGCAGACGCAGCGCTGCTGCGGCGGCGTAGACGCCCGTCTTGCTGCCTCCCTGTGTACTTGTTCCGACGGTCATCCTTCAGTCCATGGTCCGGGGCGGGATGTGTCGAGATGCGGGCTCACGGGAGCTTCAGAGGTTCGCAGTCTTATTGGAGTTCGGGGCGGGAGTCGGGATGAATAAGGTGTGGTAGGTAGGGACGGGGGTCGAGGTGGATGACACCTGGTGCTTCGGCCGGGGCGCAGGTCCGCTGGGTGCGGGAAGCTTGTCCAGCGAATGGCAATCCACCGTCCAGCGCAGTCGCACTTGGTTTAGTGGGTTGAACCCCTGGAGCTGGGGCCATTGTGCTGATTAGATAACGGATGCCAATCAGCGATAAGGATGACCGAGACTAGTCCTATCTCGGCTGGCGAGGGAGCGGTCAACCGCTGGCAGAAAATTTCAATGGAAAAAAAGTTCAGAGAGAAACTCGAGAGCGGTGCCCCGCCACAGCGAGGAGTACTGGAGAGCTTCTGAACTCGTCCAAGAACACACACCCTTCCAAACCAAGTCAATTTTCCCAACAACATAACCACGCCCATTCGCAAAAATGGCGGGCAGAGTCAAGAAGAAGGGAGAGGCCGGAGCGGCCAAGAACTATGTCACTAGAAACCAGGCCATCCGCAAGCTGCAGATCAGCCTGCCCGACTTCCGCAAGCTCTGCATCTGGAAGGGAATCTACCCTCGCGAGCCGCGCAGCAAGAAGAAGGTCTCCAAGTCCTCGACCGCCTCGACGACTTTCTACTACGCCAAGGACATCCAGTACCTCCTTCACGAGCCGCTGCTGCTCAAGTTCCGCGACCAAAAGGCCCTCGAGAAGAAGATTTCGCGCGCGCTCGGCCGCGGCGATGTTGGCGATGCGAAGCGCTTGGAGAAGAACGCCGCCAGGCCCGAGGAGACTGGCAAGCCGAGATACACCCTCGACCACGTCATCAGAGAGCGATACCCGACCTTTGTCGACGCCTTGAGGGACCTCGACGACTGCCTGTCCATGCTCTTCCTTTTCGCCAACCTGCCTTCGACCTCGTCTGTTCCCGCAAAGATGATTGCGCGCTGCGAGCGGTTGACCCTCGAGTTCCAGCACTACCTCATTGTGTCGCAGAGCGTCACCAAGTCCTTCCTTTCGATCAAGGGTATCTACTACCAGGCGAACATCAACGGCGAGGATGTCTTGTGGCTGGTGCCTTACAAGTTCAACCAGAGGGTTGTTGGCGATGTCGACTTCCGCATCATGGGAACCTTTGTCGAGTTCTACATGACGCTGTTGGGCTTCATCAACTTCCGTCTGTACACCGGCCTCGGCCTCAAGTACCCGCCCAAGTTTGACCAGACCAAGGACAACCAGTCTGCCGAGCTTGCTGCCTTCACCATTGAGGGCCAGAACCTCGCCGCCCCCGAGGAGCCGAAACAAATCACCAACGGCGAGACCGAGCACAGCGTCGACCCCAAGACCCAGGCCGCGGTTGACAAGGTCATCAAGAAGCTCAAGTCTTCGGATGCCGACAAGGAGGAGAGCAAGTCGGAGGAGCAGACCGAGTCCGCAGAAGAATCCACAAACGCCATCGACAAGTTCGAGCCCGCGGCGCCCGGCGGTGACGTCCTGCCCCAGCCCGTCCACTCGAGCACCGACAGAAACAAGCTCTTCGCCCACTGCACATTCTTCCTCTCCCGTGAGACTCCCAGGCAACCCCTGGAGTTCCTCCTGCGGTCGTTCGGCTGCAAGCGCATCGGCTGGGACGCCGTCCTCGGCGAGGGTGCCTTCACCACCGACGAGCGCGACCCGTCCATCACCCACCAGATCGTTGACCGTCCCCCCATTTACGCTGCCAACAGCGAGGAGGGCGATGGCGAGGACAACCAGACATCTCAGAAGCTCGCGCCCAACCAGCGCATCCCCGGCCGGATATACGTCCAGCCCCAATGGGTCTGGGACAGCGTCAACGACGAGGAGCTCAAGCCGGCGGACCAGTACGCCCCCGGCGCCCAGCTCCCTCCCCATCTCAGCCCCTTTGTCAGGCAAGTGCAGGGCGCGTACGACCCGACCATCCCCCTCGAGGAGCAGGAGCCCGAAGGCGAGGCCCTGGCCGAGAGCGACGAGGAGATGGCCGACGACGTGGACGCCGGCGACATGGACGTTGCCGGGTCCGACGAGGAAGAGGAGGGCGAAGACGGCGAGGGCGGCTCCGACGTTGACGGCGTCTCCGAGGACGAGGACGACGTCGGCTCCGAGAACGACGACGCCGACGCGCAGCGCCAGCTCGAGCTCGAGGCCGAGCTCACGGGCGGCGCGGTCCAGGCCAAGGAGACCAAGCCCAAGACCAAGAAGGAGGCGGCCCGCAAGGCGCACGCCAAGAAGGTGGCCGAGGAGGCGGAGGATATCGAGCGGGCCAAGGGCATGCTGAGCAAGAAGAAGAGAAAGCTGTTTGAGCAGATGCAGTACACTAATAACAAGAAGAGCGCGCAGGACGAGAAGCTGCGTGCCAAGAGGAGAAGGCTGGAGAGGGAGGCCGCGAACAAGAAGGCCAAGGCGTAGAGGATGATGAATGTGTTTGTGGTGAAGAAGAAGAGGGAGGAGAGAAAAGCTTGTTTTGTGTTTCTGTTTTATTCTAGAATGTGTAGTAGGCGTTTGTTATACCATAATTGTGGTGTTGGGACGATAAATACATGCCTGGGATACGTGAAAACAATCTCTCCGTGAATCAAAGTGAGATGTTGGTAGTACGCTGTGATGCGCGTGAGTCTGTACAGACTCGACCGCACGTTAGGCTACCCGTTTGGCCTTTCCTCGAGGCAAGTTTCGGTGAGATGTGGGCGGGTCCATTTTTCTTTTACTCTTCACCTCGCCTCAACCCACTCTGAAAACCGCTGTTATTCACCTATACATTTCATTCCACCTCACTCAATTGATGCGTATTCTTTTCACCTGTGAAGCATCCGAATTTCAGCTTTTTCAGGCATCATATCCATGTCATGACGGCACATGAGGAATCGTGGGACCTCGACACCGATGAGATTCGCTCCGTCGACTCTGAAGAGCTTTATGAGACCAGACCCAACCGCTGGAAGGGCAACAAGGCGACATGGAACACCTACACGCAGGAGGAGCGACTCCTCCATCGCTCTATGGAGCAACTCCGGAATCGCGACTTATCGGTGCACCTGTATAACGCATTCGCGCTCCGGAACCGTGCAGTACGCCCCAGCGCCGCGGGACAGCCTGAGGAAGCGGTAGGTTTAGAGAGCAGCGCCGTCTCATTCCCACGACACATTCCATATCGCTGACCGTTATTTTCTCAGGACACTGATAGACCGCTGGAAGAAATCGTCGACAGCGGCGGATGGCGCCCGCCGAATCTGTGGACGGCGTGGCCCATGAACTCGCGCATCGTGCCGGGCGACGACTTTCTAAAGGAAACTCACGACGAGGACGACGAATTCACCACGCGCTCCAGGAAGGAACAGCTCCCCAGCACAGCATTAGAAGAGGAATTGACGGCTACGATTTTACGCCAGGCGAAAGAGCGGTTTCTTCGCCGGCAGCGCAGGGCCCGAGAGCGAGAGGAAGCTGCGAGGACGCGGGACGAATCCGCCAACGAGAGGGCGGCGGCGTCTTCCGTGTCTGCGCATTCATCCGCGGTCTCTGACGAAGACGACGAAGACGAACAAGGGAACACGCCTCCGCCATCAGGACAAGGCGCGCAAGCGGCGGGGACGTCCGACGTAGAGGTTGAAAAGCCAAAGCGCAGCAAGACGTACGAACCAGTCGTCTCCGCCAACGACGAGCTCTCTGCCGACCTCCTCCGCCCTTCGGTCCGTCATATCCTATCTACCTTGGACAACACCCTCACGGCTCTCCACAACGCCCGCCTCGCGGGCCTGAGCTACATGACCGACTCGTCCGCCTCCGCGACCGACGTGGAGGACGACAACGCCTCGGACGCAGCTAGCGTCTCGTCCGCGGCGTCACGAGCGAGCTCATCGGCGTCGAAGCGTAAGAAGAAGGGTCGGCCGCGGAGCAAGGCGCCCAGAACCCCGGAGCCGGAGTGGACGAGGGCGCTCGAAAGGAGAGGGCGACCGAAGAAGGTGGCGGTCCCGCTGCCGGGAGAGACGGAGAAGGAGATGAAGATCCGGATTGCGAGGGCGTCGAAGAAGAGGATCCCGTTCTCGTCGGACGAGGAGGACGCAGCTGCTGCTGCTGAGACGGAAGGGGAGGATGCCGTCGTGAAGAAGGATGAAGAGGGATCGGGGGTGGAGACGTCGAGGTCGAGGCCGCCGAGGAAGAGGCGTGATTTGCCGGCCGAGGCGCGGGCTGAGGCCAAGATCAAGGCGCGGGAGACGATGCTTGGGAACTGGGGGCTGCGGGACTGGAGCGATGTCGTTGGCGCGGCGTCGCTTTCCGGCTTCAAGCCTGATGTCGTCGCGAGGGCGGCGCAGCGGTGTGCTGATCTGTTCGGGCAGGGGATGGAGATGCGGACTCTGTCCGAGGGGCCCGCGACGAAAGGGCCGAAGCCGCAGACGACGCGGTACGTCCCCGGTGGAGGCGGCAGCAGCGACCGTCGCGGCGGTGGTGGTGCTACTGCCCCGTACGCGGGGGCGTCCAGCTCAGAAGACTCGGAGGAGGAGAGGCCTGTCGTGAAGGCACGGCGTTTCGGGGCGGCATCTTCTCGACAGAATAGTCTGGCGCGCGACAGCATCCCACCCAGCGACTCTGACGCCACGGGACGAGGACGGAGCACGACGGCAGCGGCGGCAGCGAGACGATCGCGGAGCGCATCCCGCGCGTCGTCTGTGGGGTTCTTCTACTGTCCCGTATCGGGCTGCGAGCGCTCGCTGGAAGGGTTCGGGCGGAGGGCGAATCTGCAGCGGCACGTGGCGACGATGCATCCGGGCCGGGTAGGAGATGCTTTAGGCGGCAGTGGCGGCGGGGGGAGCGACCGCTTCGACGTGGAGAGCGATGACGAGATGGCGGGTGCTGTGCACGTTGACGGGTTCATGAGGCCTATTCGGGCGAGGAAGGGGTGGAGGGCCGAGGATACGGGGAAGAGGAAGCGGAAGAGGCATTATCGGGGGCGGAAGAGGGATGAGAGCGATGGCGGGAGTGAGATTGGGGAGGCTGTGTTGGATTCTACGTAGGAACACTCGGCTCGGTTCCGATGCTATCGTGGTGTGGTGATTCTCTCGTGCAAACAATCTACAGATGCCATCTCTATGATACGTAGTGCCAAGGCCGGCATGGCCTGGCAGGGAATACTCTCACAAATGAGACGGGAGCCAATGCCGCCTTGAAAAACTCGAGTCTCCCTCTCTCTACCTTCACGGCGAACACACGGGCACATGAAAAATTCACAGATACTGCCAACCTCGGGCTTTGTGATGGTAGCAAACACATTTGATCTCAAGTCCACGTGTGGTCCGGGAGTCTATACAGATACCAACCTTGTAACCTCCAAGTTCATGAAAGCATGCTCTGGCCCCTAGTAGCGTGAAGGAACGTTCATGGCCATCTGGCACAGGAGGTAGACGACACCATGGGAGGAGCATACTCTTCTTCGACGAGCCTCGAAACAGTAGATTTGCCCTCGGTCTTCGTCAGTTGGGGGCGAAACCACATGTAAGAAGGGAATAACACAAAGCAGGTGAGAGATCGCTCATGAAAATGGTCTTTTTGAACAGTAGAATAACCAACTCCTATTCCCAAGGGTTGCCCGCTAAAACACACATTTCTTTCACATCATTTTTGGCTACCGCCCCCAGCATCTCCCTTTACTTCTGCAGAGGCTGGCCCATACCGCCGTACGTAACCATCTTGGTGACCTGGTGCTCGGAAACACCCAAAAGCGACCCCTCCCTCCCGAACCCAGACTCCTTGACACCACCAAACGGCGCCGCCGGATCCGAAATCAAGCCCGTGTTGACGCCCACCATACCGACCTCAAGATGCTCGGCGACGCGGTGCACGCGCTGAATGTCCCTCGAGAAGAAGTACCCCGCCAACCCGACGTTCGTCGCGTTCGCCAGCTTCACGACCTCCTCTTCCGTCTCGAACTTGAACAGCCCCGCAACGGGACCGAACGTCTCCTCGCTCGACATGGCCATGTCCTCGGTCATACCCGTAATAACGGTCGGCTCGTAAAAGTTGTGGCCCAGCTTGGAAATCTTGTTCCCGCCCACGACGACTTTGCCGCCTTTCTGCTCCGCGTCGCGGACGTGGGATTCCACTTTGTCGACGGCGCGGTCGTGGATCAAGGGGCCGTGGGTGGTTCCCTCCTCGAAGCCGTTGCCGACCTTGAATTCCTCCACCTTTGCGGCGAATTTCCGCGCAAACTCGTCGTAGACGCCGCTCTGGATGTATAACCTGTTCGCGCACACGCACGTCTGGCCCGAGGACCTAAACTTGGAGGCGATCGCTCCGGCTACCGCGGCATCGACGTCGGCGTCGTCAAAGACGATGAAGGGGGCGTTGCCGCCGAGTTCCATGGAGAGCTTTTTGAGGGTGCCGGAGCACTGCTTCATGAGGAGCTTGCCGACGTTTGTGGAGCCTGTGAAAGAGATCTTCTTGACGGTCGGGTTGGTGGTCAGGGCCTCGCCGACTTCGGGGGTGTTGTCGAGCGAGGTGACGACGTTGACGACGCCGGCGGGGATGCCGGCGCGGTGGCCTAGTTCGGCGATGGCGAGGGAGGTGAAGGGGGTTTCGCCGGGGGCTTTGCAGACTACGGTGCAGCCTGTTGCGAGGGCGGGGCCGATTTTGCGGGTGATCATTGCGGCGGGGAAGTTCCATCTGTGGTGTGTTAGTCTGAGAACCGTTTTCTACACAGGACACAAGAGGGGGACATACGGTGTGATGAGACCGCAGACACCAACGGGCTCCTTGATTGTCCAGACGCGGTTTCCGGGGACGGAGGAGGGGATGGTGTCACCGTAGATACGGGGAGCCTCCTCGCTGAACCACTCGAAAAAGTTGGCGGCGTAGGTGACCTCGCCCTTGGCGTCGGCGACGGGCTTGCCGTTCTCCCAGGTGATGAGGGTGGTCAGGTCCTCTGCGTTCTCCATCATGAGGTCGTACCACTTGCGCAGCAGCTTGGAGCGCTCGCGGCCCGTCTTGGTGCGGAAGGTCTCGAACGCGGTGGCGGCGGCGGCGATGGCGGCGTCCGTGTCGGCTGCGGAGAATTCGGGGCATGATGCGATCTTGGTGCCGGTGGCGGGGTCTGTATGGTTGTTACTCTCCTGTCTTTTCCATGATTTCCATATATGTCTAGATATATGCACAAAGTCAGGATTGTAAGGGGGGGGGGGGGGGGGTATCCGGGCCACGTAAAAGGTCTGCCCAGCCTTTGCTTTTACCCATCCCCGCTTGACTGAGAAAACACCCGGTTTCGGAGCGGGGGGGCTTTTGGGCGGAGGGGAGGGTGGGGGGGGGTGGGGGGGGGGGGGGGGGGGATATACCGGTCACGTCAAAGGTCTTGCCAGACTTTGCCTTTACCCATTCGCCGTTGACGTAGCAGACATCCTGCTTCAGGAGCGAGGGGTCTTTGA